TACTACTACTACTACTAGCACCACCATCACCACCACCACTAGGAAACTCTGCGAAGACCATTGCAGCCATAGCGTCCCTGCTCTTCTGAGTGGAGATCGTGGGGCGTGACAAGGGACTTGAAGAGAGAGGCCATGCCTTGGGGATCGCAATCTAATGTTTCGACTCGCGCAAACGACAAAAAGCAATCTGATGATTAGGGTTTTGGGTCTAGGGGTTCTAGGGCCGGGGAGAACAAGAATAGGGGCCTAAGTAGTAGAGTAGCGTTTTCAGGGATGTGAAACGATAGGCTATAAATTATACAGGTAACAAGGGCCCCTAAACAGTAGCGTTACCAATCATTCAGGCTTCTATTATATCAGGTTGTCGTCTGGACCGACCTTACTTGCAGGGCTCCTGGTTCAAAAGAGGAGATCATACAGGCATGTACAATTGGTCTAACACTAAATCCTGTGAGAGGGTATTTAGGGATTGCAGCTTAAGGTATAGAGCTTTAGGGTTTTGGGGCTCTTGGGCTTGGAAACATCCATGGAAATCCTGAAGCCTTAACGCCCTTACCTGAAATCCAAGCACCCGCCAGCAAGGTAGCCTTCATCCTACAACATTCGAAACTCCAAAGCAACCTAGAACCTAAAACTTGACGTGGTGCTGCTGTAGCCAGGGTCGATGCCACAGTTGTAGACAACTGCCCCTCCTTCAAAATTTCGGCGGTTTGGGGTTATATAGGGATTAAGCATTCGGGTCGGATCTGGGATTCATTCTGGATCGTGGCAAGGAACAAGAATTTGTGAATGTCTGTTCGTCTTGCCCTCCTCTTTCAGTATGTCCGTATTATCAGGACATATGTGTTATTTAAAAATCTTCTGGGTGGTTTCTGTTTTGAATGCCCTGCTTCTGGTCAAACAGGGTGCCACAAGGAGACAGATGTCAGGAAAGAGATAGCAAATCGCAGGAAAGAGTGCAACGCATACCCTCCTCGCGCAACTTAGTGCTTACAACCGCTACCTTCACCTCTAACCCTTACCTTTTAAGGTTAGGGGTTTGCTGTGGTTCCCTTTTTCCCGGGCTTGGATTGTGTGCCAGCGAACACACCTCAACAACAGGGCCTTCTCTTTAAGCTGTGGTTCCCTAAACCCTAAACACGAAGCTCCAGGTCGGGGTTCAAGTCGCTTTCAGCGGCTCCGGATGTTGGAGTATGGCGCCAAGCACTAGGCACTAAACCTTTAAACCCTAAAACCCGGCCCTAAACTCTAAACTGGACAAGTCTAAAACCCTAAAGCCTAAGCCCTAAAACTTCTCAAACGAACCAGTCTAAAACCCTAAAGCCCTAAACTGTAACATCCTGGGGCCCAGCACCGCAAACCCTTCTCTTCGGTACCTATAGTCTCCAATGTAGTTCCTTTATATTCCTTTTTGGGTTACCTTATAGTAGTCTCCACTGTAATTAGTTCCTTTACATTCTTTTTTGGGTTAGCCTGTAGGATCCTAAGTATGTAAAATTGGAGTAGCAAACAAAGAAACTTCAATGGAGACTACAGGTAGTCGTAGTAGTAGTCTGGGCTTGGCGCTCGGGGGTTATGATTCTATGGGGTATCAGAAGCCTAAAACCACTGTAAACGCTACTCCAAGTGGGCGTCTATGGACACTGAGGGCACCATTGTTGGGTACCCAGAGCGCCCAATACCCCTTCATTCACGAATATACACGTGATATGTGCAATCGCAAGCATTATTTGTTCTTATTGTTCAGCCGCTAGGCGCGCAAAAGCCCTACATCATCAAACCAGAAATCAGAAAAACAAGAACCACTTCAAAACCCCAAACGCCGTTGCTGGTTGCGGGTTTGCGTAGTCACGGAACCCTAAACTTACTAAAGACCCGGCGTTGGCCCGAAATCCGCAATCCCATATCACTCAACTCAAAAAAGCACCCGAAACCCCAAAGCCCTGAGTGAAACCCTTGAGATCGTTAAGAGAACCGTTGAAAAAACTCCCCACGGAACACGAAAGCGGTCAGCCTAGGAAGCATCCCAGCGAGCAAAGCGCCCCCAAAGGAAGCGACGTCAAACCTAGATCCTCAGCACACTTTCGCGACGGGTCAATGTACCCAAATAGTATGATACTTTGGCCGTAAAGTAGTCCCTAAAAGGGTACTCTGCGGCCAAAACACACATTATTTGGGCACATGGACCCTTGGGATTACCTCCCCAATTTAGGGAGCCTTAGGCTTGATTTTAGGGTTTGAGGTTTCCCCCATCATCGCGTTTCGAGGCGTCTGTTGTTTGTTGATGGTTCTTTCTTACCAGGACTTGACCCCGCTTCCAAGGGCTTCGGCATTCAGGATTGGTGTGTTTTCGGTTTGGGGCGTAAAGTTTGCGCTTTAGGTTTTGGGGATCCGGGTGAAGGGCTTTGGGACTCGTGGCATGGATTTTAAGACCTTTAAGGGTCCTGATGGGACTTCAGTGTTTCGGAGGGTTTCGCGGCTTATGGCTTCAAGGTTAAGGTTTCGAGTTTTGGGCTTTGGGGGTTCTAGGGCATTTTAGGGCTTTAGGTTGGGGGCTTTATGTTTGTAGACTGTATTTTGCCTTGAATCCACGGCAGTGGGTTGATGTTGGCTGCCGACAGTCAAGTTAAAGTCTATTCAGCAATACATGAAAATCTCCAAAATGTGCTAAAATGCCAACCAGTTCATGGCTCCAGAGGCCACGGTCCCAAGACCCGCTGAAAAGGACCCATGTAGTGTCTCGTGCTTCGTAGCAGAGGGCACGACACCCACGACCCTAAATCGCAGAGCAAGGCACGTAGGAGAGCATCATGCCGGTCGACCAGCCGCAAAGCCTGAGTTGCCGAGCACAGGGGCCGAGCGAAGTTTCTCAAGCTTCAGCGTAGAGCCATGTCAAAATATGTCATACACCTTCGTTTAGGGGTTAGGGGATTAGGGCGCAGGGTAAAACACCGAAACTGAACCCAAAGCGGTTCCAGGTTAGCCGCTAGCGAAGCTCAGAAAGACTGAATGCTTTGAAACGCAATTAATAAGAAGCTACGGAGCATCCCAAAGGGAACGAAGGACAAGCGCGTAAAGGCAGCCATTTGCCTCCAGGCACAGAAGGGGATTTCAAAGCTCAGGGTCTTTGGAACCTGGTTCTGACTTGGTAGGTTCATACCACCGTTCAATCAACCTTTGTAAGAACAACCAGAGAACAAACTATCAATTTTGAAGCCGCCAAAAACTCATTGAGCCTAAACCGGCTGACCCTTTGAACGCTATACCCTGAATCCTCCAACCGGCCTTGGCTGGAGTGGATGCGTGAGAAGGTCAAGCAGTGCATCGCTCACAGGAATGTGCCTGGTTCGTTTTGGGGCACTTTGGATGCAAGCGGGCTCTTCCAAAGCTATGGTTTAGGGTTAAGGCCCGTGAAACCTAATGATCCAAGGAATCTGGGATCATATTCCCTAAACCCTAAACCCTAAACCGGAGACCTGAAAAGGCAGGTTTCTTGGGGTCCAGGTAGGGTTTGGTCTCAAGGCACCTCTCGAGATGCTCCAACTCTTGTTGAAGAAGTCCTTCCTGGCCGGGATGTAGATTTTAGGGTTCAGGGGTTGCAGGTTTAGGGTTTGAGGGTTTAGCTTTTCGGGGTTTATCGTTTAGGGCTCAGGGTTTAGAGAGGTTTAGGCAGGAGGGTTTAGGGTTCGGCTTTCTCAGTTCCAGTGTAGAGTACGACGAAGCTTCATGAGTGTATGCAGAATTCAGGGTCTTGTGGGGTTGTTGTCAAGATCTGCTGAAGTATGTATGAGAAGTGTTGGTTTCTACGAGGTTTGACAGCGATACATATAATGGATCCAAGGTTTAAGGGCCAGGAGGAAGTACAACTCCCGAGGTTTGAATATGGTGAGCCTCGTACATCAGGTCAGTAAGAGTCCTTCCTACAGGTCGTTATGTAAGCAACATCTTCTGCAACAACCTCTCATATAGTGGCCTGAAAAATATCGGTAAAGCTGTTCCTACAGCCTGGACTCGCTGCGCTGATGGTATATACACCCCACTCTGAACTCTGAGCCCTAAAGCACCAGAGGCTAGGCCGAAGTTTGCAGGCTTCCAGAGAATGCCGTGCTCTGCTGCTTGGGGGTTTTGGGAGAACTTAACATAGGGACCTTAGGAATTAGACTCGGGTTTTGGGGCCCGTTATACTATAAGTGTAATAAGAAGCCGCGAAAACAGTATCGGTAAGTATCTAAGCCCCTACATTAGAGCCCTTTGGATATAGAGACTACGAGTCTCCGTGGGCACATGAACCGAATCTAAACAAACATGACCCAAGGATCCCGGTGCCGGATGATGAAGGCCACAAAGACGGCACTGCACCGTGAACCCATGTAATCTAAGGGCCTCAATGATTAGAATAGGGTTTTGGGGGTTCCTTGCTATAAGTATATACTATAAAAGAGCCCAAAACCCTAGTCTAATTATTAAGGCCCCTATACTAAGCCCAAGAGCCTCCCGGACCGTCCGTTGCAGACTTATTTTCGAGAGTGGTGGAGGGGAGGAGGGTGGGGGGGGGAAACCATAATGTATACCCCATGCCTTAAGATAAATAAGAAGGACCTACAGCCGAGATGAATCGGGTAGGGAAAGATCCTCAATAATCAGGCCCCTATGCTACGTACACCTAGAATCATGCAGAAGCCTGAGTTCGTTGAGGTCTGCAAACCAAGGCACGTAAGGTGTATGATTCTCAGAAATCATGGGTCCTTGTGCGGGCCCTGCTTACCCTAAACCATAACAAATCCATGCCGTGCTGTTGTGGAGAGACACTACCATGGGTTCCAAAAAGACTCACATTGGCAACAGGAGCCGCCCAGGCACCCTGGCTGCCGAGTTCATCCGCGCAGAGTTCAGCCTCTGAGGTTGTGGCGGTTTTAGGTTTTTAAGGTTTCGGGTGATCTCCGAACTCCCCAAATCCGCAGACAGAGAAGACCCGTCACAACACCGGAAAACTCAAAAACCTGTCGCCCGAGAATAGGGGCCTTGACACAAACGTCCAGCAAGAGCTGTGATGAAGTGGAAGGGAGGATTGAAGGATGGGCTGATAAACCATGAACCTGCTGCACCCTCAATACCTGCGATCCTCGTATCCCTGCGCCCTTGAAGCAGTCAATTCCCTCAGATGAAAGCCCTGCACTTGAGAAGGTTAACATACCGGAGAGGTGGAGACATTGATGGAGCCTCAAACCGATCATGGCGAAATATGATCGCTTGAGGTTTCTAGCCGCTAGCCTTTCAGACTTCACGGTTTCGACTCTATACCACGACGCCATTGCCACAAGAGAGGATGCGATCTCCAAACAATTTAAGTCCACCGATACGGTGTCTGGAACCACAACTCAACCCTTGACTCTTTACCCTTCCATAAATCCAAAACGAAACATTGAGCCAGCAGGAACCTGGGATACATGACACAGGTTCTGGCTGTTCGAACACATTCGCCTGCTCTCTGACAACGCCCTCCTGTTTTTTCTAGAGCTGCTAGGGCGGCTAGGGTTTAGGTTCCGGTTTTAGGGTTTAGGGCTCAGAGTCTAAGAAGTGCCAGGACACCATTGTAAACTATACAATCGCAGCCATCGCGGCATTTCCTTCAAGCACCTTCGCCTATGAAGCAAAGACAAAGCAACTCTGCATGACCAGTCCGCCTTCAGTCCCACGTTTCGGAGGAAGAATAAAACAAGCAACAACTGCAATCCTGGACTTTTAGACAACTAAAATCGATTTTCTGCCCGCGTGGCAGCAAAATGGACAGCGCGACATGCCGAAGCCAGCTGTGAGGGTCGTCGTGCGACTCAGGGGCCTCCACTTTGGCGAATTTAGTGTCCACAATACGTGTCCACTTTACGGGCCTTAATACTTACAATGGGCTTTGGTGGGTAGATTATTGTAATACTTTAGCTATAATAAGGATCCCTGCTAAACATGAAACACACTTACGAAACCCTAAGCCCTAAGGGTAGGCCTCTACATCAGGTTTACTAGACATTCAAGGGATTCCTTGCCCAGCTGGTTGGGCGATGGCCTGCATGGCAGGGCTTGAACCCTAAACCCTAAACCTTTGAAGACGGGACGAAGGTTTAGGGCCTGGGGCTAAAGACAAAGACTAGGGTTTCGTGTTCAAGGCTTAGGATGTAAGGTTAGAGTTTACGGTTTGAGGTTTAGGGCTTGGGGCACAGCACGAGAGAGGAGGAGATAGCAGGTTGTTGGGTGTGGGGTACTATGTAGGGGTTGTGATGGAACTCAGCAAGCCAACAGACAACTTCCAAGTACGAAATCTGTAGCAAACCCAGTTTCCAGAATACCCCAAAACCAAAAACACCACAGGAATCAGGCCTCCGCGGATCCTACAACTCTGAAGCGTGACAACCGACAACCCTAAACCCAATCGGTCGTCCTGTACTGTAGACACCATACAACCCCTTATGGAACCCCAAACCCTGAACAAGTTTGAGCCCTCATACAAACCCTTACAGATCCCTTTTCGAACACTTGTAGACCCGTTTTGTAACCCCTACAGAGAACCTAGAGCTAAATCGGATGCGACGACGGCGCCTCGGGGTTAAGCGGTTAAGGGTTCAGGATACTCGGGCTTATGGTCTGGCCACATTGACTTTCGTAAGGACAAACAGGTGCATGTAACACACACAGATATATATATACATATATATATATATATACATACAAAAAAAGAAAGTCATAACAAGGAACACGAACAAGGTTTTTCGACTACATGTATGGTGACTCGCACAAGGCATTTAAGGCTCCGCATAGCATGGGTTTTCGGATTTAGGGCTTTAGGGTGTTACGGATTTGAGGCTTTAGGTCTTGCGGTCCTAAGGCGTTTAGATGCCTTAGGGTTTTTGGAAGCACGGTTTTTCAATCCCTCGACACTTTGCGTCCATTACGGTGTTCCCCTATAAGCTTGTTATAGGGCTTGCACAAGTTATGTAACAGAATGTGCCTCAAACTCTTTTGTTAGGATCCTCCCTTAAATCCCTAAACCCACCGGCCTCCGTAATGCACCCTAAACCCGAAACCCTTAAATCCCTAAACCCGCCGGCCTCCGTAGCGGACCCTAAACCCTAAAAACCCGAAACCCTTAAATCCCCCTAAACCCTAAACCCCCACCGGCCTCCGCAACGACCCCTAAAAACTAAACCCTAAACCCTTAAATCCCTAACCCCCGCCGGCCTCCGTAATGACCTTGTCTAAGAAAAGGCAGAAAGTCTCGAAGGGTTGCTCGTAGCGGTGGCATCCGCAGCAGAAAAGGCTGGAGAACCATCGCGCCACGAGCTGCTCCTTAAGGGTTTAGGGGGTTTAGGGTTTAGGGCTTTAGGTGTTTAGGGGTTAGGGGTTGAGGGGTTTAGGGTTTAGGGCTTTAGGGCTTTAGGGTTTAGGGTTGAGGGGTCTTAAAGATAAGGCTTTTGGGATACACTCTTCACGTTAACCCTCTATAGCAACCATGACGAGCCCTAAGCCCATATTTGGTAACCTCTAAGCTGCAGGGTACTCTCATACTGCTTAAACGGCATCCTAAAGTCAGCCTCAGAAATCCAGAGACTGCTGATAGCCGCGCTTAACGGGACCCTAAACCCCCCTATGGGCAGTTCTCTAAATTAAGGTCCCTTCCTGGGGTCCGTTTTATAAGGGTGCCGCACTATTTTGGGGACCTAAAGCGGGACCCTAATTTAGAGAACTACCCAATTGGTAACCCCTGTAGAACCCTCACATGGAAACGCTTGTAGTAACCCTTGTGGGAACCCTGAAACCTGAGCGATAACTAGGCCCCCGGGGTAGAGGGACGCCGGACAAACGAACTCAGCAGGGTTTAGGGTTTAAGGGTTTAGGGGAACCCCTCAAATGCTCAAAGGTACCAAACCAACAACCCCAAAAACAATGGTGACGCCAAAGTGCCAGTTGTCGCTCGCAGCTTTGAGCTTTGATCGCTGCCACGGTCTTCCTTGTATGGCGTCCGTTTAGGGCTTCAGGCTCGAGGGTCCTTTAAGGGGTTTCGGGTTTAGGGCTCAAGGGCAACAACTCTAGATCGCTGGGGGCTTTAGGTTCAATGGCTCCAAGACTAAAGCTTAAATCCTGAACCCTAGACCGGTCGCTGGAACGTTTACGGCTTGGGCTGCAAGGGAGATTCAGTATTTACTGTTCCCCTAAACCCTAAACCCTAATCAGGACGTTTCGGCAAGACTTCAAGCGTGTTGCTCCTGAAGGCCTACAACTCGCTGACCGCTGCGCCCTCGGCCCTGAATGCGTTCGGTTGGGCTTTTAGGGTTTTTAGGGCTTTTAGGGTGTAGGGTTTTTAGGGCTTTTAAGGTTTAGGGCGTTTAGGGTTTAGGGTTTTTAGGGTTTAGGGTTTATAGGGTTTAGGCTTCTGTGCTCTCCCTTTAGTGAAACAAGTGCCCTAAGCAGTCCCTAAACTCTACAGAACCTGTAGTAACCATGCCCAGTAACCCAATACATGGGCAACTGCGTTCTTAAGGAGAGGTACCTTTGCTGGAGTCTTTGGAGCCTGGAGCTTCGAACCTCTCTTTCGGTGGGTGTCTAGGGTTCAGGGTTTAGGGTTCAAGTTTTAGGGCCTTGAGGGTTTGATTGAAAGTCTTGTGACACCTTGAATCCCTAACCTCGCCATGGCTGATATAAGCTTCGCAGACCTGTCATAAACAGACTCTCTGCCTTTCCATACACCATCCCTAAACCCTGAACCCTAAATCTGAGCCTATCAATCTGTTCTCACAGACACAGAAGTTCGGGAGGACGATGGAGGACGAATCCCAAAACCGCAAAGCGAAACTTTGGGGCTGTAAGTAAGGTCTGGGAAGTCCGAATAGCACCAACGGCAGGCATCATGCAACTCTCATGTGTGGGCTTCTAGGCTTTCTCCACGGGCTTTACAGGCTTACATAGGGCTATATCATATAGGTCTTAGAAAATTTTTTGGGGCCCTATACAAAGGGCCTGATAGGGTTCAGGGCTATTTGGGCTTTATACGCACGTGTTATAGGATTTAGCCGAGGGTTGTTTAGGGTTTTGTGTAGGGGCATTGATCATTCCAATACAGTTCTTGGAGGGCTATCTTCTGATTGTGGTACATGGGGACTGCACCGGGTACTATTACAAAATATTTGGACCCCGTTTACTCTCAAACAAGCCCAAGGTTTGCTTCGTATCTAGCAGGCACGCACAACGGACTGCGTGGCAACCTCATGACTGTGCGTAAGCAGCATCACAATATCATTATAGTGTTGCATTTGTACAAACTACTGTAGGATAGTCTCGTGTCCATGCAGTTTGATTGTCTGTAGCTGCAGCCACTTCTTTGCCCATCAATCAACCAATACGTCTTACACAGCTTACACTTCCAGTTACAGTTGTACTTGCCTGCATTGGTCAAGCGGGCTGATTTGCCGACTTAATTGCTCTGCTGATGACAGAAGCATACTTTGCTCAGCATGGGGCGGGGATTGGCTACCGAATATTGAACATCAAGCTGTGAGAGACCCAGGCAATCCTCAAGAAATGATGTGTCTATGTGAACTTATCACAACCCGAGGACGAGTTCCTACGTACTTGGAGTCTCCAGGCCAGAAGCCATAAACCCTACCCCTACACCCTAAACAGATGCGGTGCCACTGCAGTACGGGCGTCGGACAAAGGATGGAGAAGGAGGCAAGGACATCATACACCTCGCCGGGGAGATAATGTCTTACTTCCCAATAGGCCAGCCAAAAGAAGGTTAAACTTTCAGGTCACTACTGATTTAAAAGAACCCTAAAAATTAAAGGCTGGGTACTGGAGAACTAAGATGTGGAGATTGTTCAAGATTCAAGGGTCTGGTGTGTTGCAAGGGCGTTCATGGGGCTCTGCACGAGCGGCTTTGGGAATCTATTGGTAACATCGGGGTCTGAATTGGCCATTTACTAGCAGTAGTCCGATTTCTCAAGGTTCAGCAATAGAAACACACGTGAGTAGATACCAAAACCCCATCGTCCCGCTCAAGTCACCCATCTTAGAAAATCGGGGCTCAGGCTATCTGGACCTTCAAAGTGGCTACATCAAGGTGCTCAAGGTTTTAGGGTTCAGATATCGGCTCAAAGCTGGTTGAATTAACATCTCGGGTGTAGGTTTAGGGTTTACACTCTCACAACTCGGACAAGCCAGGCGAGGATCCATAGGTGCATAAGTCGGCGTGACACTGTAAGCTGCCCATGCATGCCGCTATCCATACCAGACGAAGTAAACTCTCAAATAAACCACAGTTTACAAGACAAAGTGGATGCGGGCTCAACTACTTTGAGGACATGTGCCCCAAACCTTAGTTACAACTCGGTTCTGAGCTGAGGCGCTGTACGACAAACCAGAAAGGCTGCGACACCGCTAGTCATCAGGCAAAAGGTGATCATCCACCAAGCCCCGGTTGCGTCTCAACTGCTACTCAGGGGGTAGAGCATCATCAGGGTGAAACTTGCGACTCCATCTGTTGCAGGCAAGAACTGTGTTTGTAGTCCCCGGCCGCTCAGTACTGCACGGTTTCAAAACTTCCCACTCTCTTCTAGAAGTTGTGTTTCATCCTCGGTCACCGCCCATTCCGCGGTGCTGGGTCATCAGTCAAATCCCCGTAAGGATTTGGCGTTGAAGCGGGGATATAGTCTGCATCGAACTGTTCTTCATCAAGCTCTGTTCCATTGTTTATCTTCTTGTTGCCTGCAGACAGAAGCCATTCTTCGTCCAACTGTCCACCATCGCTGCTAACGGCGGGGCCCAGGAAAACTCTGGACGCTTCTGTATGCCGGGCCCAGCAGTGAGGTGTAGGGTCACATAGGGGCCGTATGGATCTGCGCCCGCGACCTGTGTCCCCTTGGACTGTAACGGCCAGCCACACCCATATTCGTTTGTCTGTCGTACATGGGTTGCCCCCTTCGAGAAAAGCAGCATTTCACAGCGACCACCATGAACATATCAGAACAGTCTGCTGCCTTGGTGCATTCCCAGAATTCCTCAGCGTGTTAGAGCAGCTTTGGTCATCACGATCCAGCTGACATCCACAAGCACTGATCCAAATCCAGGGGGCAGTTTATAGCTTAGCCATGGCTTCCGCTCGGTCGGGGGTTCGTGGTTTGTTTATCCTACTAAGGGAAAGGATAAAACATGATGAAGCATATTATTCCGTAGGTCATCTCCCGAATGACATGACCACGACGACGTACATCG